CAGTTTTAATTTAGGCTCACAAAATGACCACTTAGCCAGTATAAGTTCCAATTTGGTCATCAAAACCTAGGAATATGTTAGTCCACACATAAACTGTATATCATCAGAAAAGCAAGATCCTAATTCAGAGAGGTGGGAATGTGAAATCTTTGCCATCCATCTACATATGTTTAGGTTTTTATATCCCTATTTTTAACAATCAAAATTTTAAAATTACATGCATTTGAACTATGAAATTAGATTGTCTAGAACTTTAGAGGATCACAAACTCTTCTGTGCTGTAATATGGAAATGATTTTTTGATTTGACTGAAGAACTAATCCACTTTTACTTAAACAGGCTCATTTATAATACCTTCGGTGTGATTGAAAATCAAAGAAAACTACAGCAGAGGGAAATCACATATTTTCATTCATAAACTAAGAAAGCTAGAAGTAAATATGTTCTTGAGAAAGTATTGTGAAATAAGTAAATATTTGTCATGAAAATATATAAGATTATTTCTTTAAAAGATTGTTACAAAAAGTGTATAAGCTTATTTTCTAAATAGAATCATTTTTCATGAAGGAAGACTCAAGGACCTATGCCATAAATTGTTCTGAAAACCTAAGAAACCCCACATGCCCTTCTAATTAATATAAACGTGAACTGGGTTATGAACATGATTTTTTTTTAAATAGAGTAAACATTCTCAGGTATCTGTCTGAATATCTACACTCCATTTGGCATGCTGACATTTTCATACTCTAAGCAAAGGTGTTAAATTTTGTTTCTGCAAGTCAGCTGGGAAAAAAACAGAAAAGGAAATCAAATGGGAGCCTGCAAGCTCAAAAATTAATAGAAATAGCTTACCTAAAATAACTAAAAAGCACTTCAATTTTGTATCCAGTATACTGACAGAGGCCTAAAATTGGTCCTAAAAAGTGCTAAGTAACGAATGGACTGTATCCTCTAGTTTGGAGCCAATGGATAGATTAGATAGGTGACTAACCTACTTGATCATCTACCTGTCAAAAACTGGTTTTAGTCAACATAAAATTCTCCCTAATCATGAACTAATGTGATTAATTACAAAGGTAAAACATTATGTTTAAAAACTTACTAGTGATATATAAATGCTAATGTAATATAGCTATCCACTATTAAATTTTTAGAAAGGAGTTGATTTATTTGGTAGTTTAGGGTATGACCAAGTAAAGCTTCAAAAGTGGAACTGTACACGGAAATTAAGAGCTTGAGAGTTGACTACCTCTAATAGTGTACTGTATATTCTATCAGTATTTCTCAAACTCAATTCTGCCTAAGATTCACTTGAAGATTGTTCATACACATTCCTGGGCCCTTCCTCAGAAGGGATGTTTAGGGGTCTATCTTGATATCATGCTTGTCTAACAAGCTGCCTTCAACTCTAAGGGTTTTTCTAGCTTAAGTTCTGAATGGCTCCTTCAAACCTACAATTATGTTTACCTTTAAGAAAATGCTTCATAACACTTTTCATTGAAAGACATTCAAAATGTACCTTAAAAAATTAACTATTAGCTGTTTTCTATTAAGGAACTATTAAACTTTCAAGACTCCATATGGAGCTGTTTCCATTAGAAAATTAAGGTTATTTCATAGCACATTAAACATGAGAGTTCTGAGCACTGAGAATTATTTTCCAATTTCCAACTTGAAAGGAAAGTTTTTTGTATGAGTGATATGGAATTGAACTTATCACACATAATTGTAAATGAAATACAAATACCTGGTTACAATTTAAAGTGTCAAGACTTTGGAAAAAGAAAACAATACACCTAAGCATAAAGAAAATTGTTTAAAGAACTCCATTGTGAGTTTTGTGAGTTCTCCATATCTAAGCATTTTAATCTGTAAAAAAAAAAAAGGAAAGAAAGAACTGAATGTTATAACATCCTTACCACAATGGGAATTTATTTGGTGTATCTTTTGCCAGGCCTTCCCTGAACATGCCAATTATTAAACATCCTAATAATAAAAAATAACAAGGATGAATTATATCACATATTGTTTTACTGTAGAAGATTTATATTTCTGTTTCTATGCTATATATATATATATTTCTTAATTTAAAATGCAGAATTCCAGAGTGCAGAATTCCAGAACTTCAGGAGATAGTTAGCCTACAAAACAGTACTTTGTAAGTAAATAAAAAGTAATAAGTAAGACATTTATCATTATACACAAAAAATTTATTCTCCTCAATTAGTTGGTAATATGATATCTGCAATGCAAATGCCAGATGTGGTTTCAAGTTCAGGTTGTATTTGTTTTGCAAAATCCAGCCTAATTGAAATGCTCCAAGTTCTTTTGAATTCCATTTGTCTATTCATTGAAATCATGTGAAAACACCCTGAACTCTACCTTCTATTGCGACAGCTCATATTTTACCATGTGAACTTTTTTCTAATCAATAATTATTGGATTTTTTCTTTATATATATATATTTTTTTCTTTCAATATAATGGCATAGATCAAAGCTAGTCATTTTATTATACTATTTCCCTACCAATTTTTATGACCAAAGTTAGAAGTCCTTAAATAAAATCATATAAGCAAAAAGTTTTCCTCTAGATTTTGTTTCTCTACAGAATAGATTCTTTTGGGAATTTCTAAAATTCTCTTCAGGTATCCATATCTTATTTCTTGCTCACAAATCTCCAAGGAATAGTCTGTCCAACAGTAAGAGAATAATTACTATGTTATTATCATAGAATAAAGCATGGTCTTGCATGTTGAAAAGTGCCAGCCAATTCTTATTTCAATACATTTCTACTGCAAAAGAAGGAGCCTTAGTTAATAAGAAATTCTTCTAAGAATTAAAATACTATCAGTGAAATCTTTGTTCCTGAAGACAAACTTGAAGTTATATGACTTCAATAGTTTGATCTGTTAAATTGAACAGATACACAAAATATTAAAAATAACTCAAAAGTTGTAGGACGTAGCAGTGATGCTTGCATATAATATATATCATTACCATGAAAGGCTGGTTAATCTGGTTATTCAGTAACCTGATAAAACTGTTACTGATCTGACATATATTTCAAATAAATTCTGGAGTGCAGGAAGAAAATGTGAATCCTTCAAAATTGTTGGAAATTTCATTTTAGTCTTCATTATGTTTAGGAAAATAAAAACTGGAAAATTTCTACATATTTTATTAATAGCGACAACCTAATCATTCTTGAAGTTGGACTTCTACTATCCATCAGGGCAAAACAAACATACAAACAAACAGTTCTTAATCTTTTTTCAATAACAGAAACTACCATTGGCCCCTTTTTGCTCAGGCTAAGGGTTACAAGGTAGAATCTATAGAAAACAGCAACAACAAAAATAGTCTAGCCCTAGGAGCAGAAGAATTTAAAAACTTGCTCTTCTAAGCAAAATTAATGTATGATTTTCTAATACATGACATCATTATGTGACTAGCGGATAACTTAAAAATTTTAACACAGCATTACTTCATTATAAAAACAAAAAGAATAAAGAATTTTAAAACTTTCAAGCATACATATTTAATATTTTTTCAGAGCAACCCTTGATTCTTTAAACATTTCTATTATATCGACATAGGAGAAAGTCATATCAATACAAATAATACAGTTCAACCCACCTTTTTATATAACGTAAGTTCTTGGAGCTCATTTAAGAAATATATGATTTTTGTTTCCATGTATGCCCTTTGAAATAGGTCATGGCTTTATTCCAGTTTAGAAAACTTCTCTGGAACTCCTGATTAAATAACATAAAGCTACCATTTGTTAAATTAATCTCTAATCTACTAAATCATGTTTTCCCTAATATTGTTGAACTGATTTTTTCATAATCATGCAATTACTACACTGAATTTTAGATCATAAAACAGGAGTTCTTGGCTTATTGCAGACTTCTGCCTTCAAATGGATAAGGTACAACTACATCCATGTCCTTGCACATTTAGGTCAGTGAGGCAAAATTTCAAAGGATATAAGAGAATGCTTTTTCCCTGTGGGTTATAATAAGCACTAGTCCAGTATAAGTTCCCTTCATGCAGGGTAATAAGACAATTCATGAATCTAAAAATAAACAGAATGTTTAAACCCCTGTTGAGTTCAAATGTATAAATACTTGAAATTCATTTTTTATCTATTTTCTGATCATTACTACACAGAAATGCTATTAGAGTGCTAAAAATAACAATTATAATCTCAAATTGCTGAGTTTTAAATTACCTCTATTTTGTACCTATTAAATAATGAACTTACTTTTTTTTTGATAGTTTTCTTGGAAGGATATTTCTGAAAGAACTAGGAATGTAGTATTTCTCGTCAGAAACAAATCTGATTCATTTCTTATACATGATCAAACTTTTCACTAAATTTCATTACAATCAATTGTTTTCAATTAGCACAGTATAAAAGGTGGCTCAAATTTTTTGTTCCTTTTAGTATCTGCATGCATGCAAAGTCTGGGTATTTGGGAAATGGCACAAGAAAGTGTATTTTTATAATTTACTTAGTACTTAAGATACTGTCATTTTTCTAGAACAGATTCCCTTATTGATCAAAGCTTTCTTGGTATAACCCTAATATTAAAACTGTCTTCAACAGGATAAGTAATCTGTACGGTGTTTGGCCGGCACACTAGTGAGAATAACAATCTAGACTCTAAGACATACACATGCTTAACAACGTTAAAAAATAAAACAATGTCCCCGAAATGGGCATAGTTTACACTCCAGTGATAGTTCACACACATAAATGTTGGCTTCTACTGAGCCTGGAAACAATCAGGTGTGTGACTCTAAAACTCAGGGGATTAGCCCATTAGGCTCCAAGGTGTGCAAAGCCTGGCAGGACGCGCAGAAGCCCAGCCTGTGATCCATCGCAGGGCCCTCAGCGGCGTCCTTACACGACGCCACAGCAATTCAAAGAATCACCCGCTTCAGCCCAGCGCTGGCCCAGGTCTCACACCCCTTGGCCCCACCGGCTCCTTACCTGGAGGAGGAGGTGGCTGCAGCTGTGGACAGCGGAAGGTGCTGAAGCAGGCAGCGAGAGTGCGAGCACGGCCCGTGCGTGGTCCCGCCCCGCCCTCCTCGCCTCAGTCCCGGGGCTCCCGGGGGCGGGGCGGCCCGGCTGGGAGTTCTGAGGGGCGGGGAAGCGGCCTCCAGCGGAGCGGGTTGGAGAGGGCCGCTCTCCAGGTCCCGCCCTGGGGGTCACGTGATCCCCACACTGCTCGCTGATTGGACTGTCTGGGAGGGGAGGCGGAAGCGGCTCGTGATCCCTGGAGACTTGGCTGAGGGTGAGGCGGTTACCTGGCAACGGGGCGGGCGGCTGTGCAGAAAACGTGGTTCCGCGGCGGCTTTGGGACCAGGCTTCAGACAGAGGGTCTGCAGTGACGTTGAAAGTGGGGGAAAACTATGAGCCACCAGCGATCTCACCACCTAACATTCTCTACCGAGTCTGTACTTTCTAGGAAAATGAGTCAACTATACAATGAACAAATCACCCTTTCTCCTCCTGGGAATCTTGGAGGAATAAGTTGAGCCTCCTTCGGAGGCGGGGTTGCACTGTCTTGAACCATCATCACTTGGAATGCGAGTGCAGAACACTGTCACTCCTGCACTTCTTATTGTGTGTCCTACAGGGCCCTGAGGAGCTCTTTGGGGAACCTTTGTGGATGAGATTTTTTTCTGTTATTCAGGTTGTATGTAGTTAATATCTGTTCTCACAGCGTGCAAACCTGACACTTCCCCTGTGGAATATGGTTAAATGGAAATATTTGATACTGTTATTGATGCTGGATTCTATATACCTCTGAAATCTCACTACCAACCACTTTTATTCAACAGTACAGAAAATAGGCATGCATACACTAGGAATACAGTGTATTTAATAACATTTATTAAGTTTTAATTATATGGGAAGCTCTAAGTAGTTATAAATTAATGATCTACCTTAACTAAGGAAATTTCCTGGACGTGATTCTACCTCCCTCTGCAGTATGTGGAGGATTTTTCTCTTGCTTTTTTCCAGTGTATTCCCTGCGGAGACTATTGCTTATCCTCATTTGTACATTAAAACTAAAAGTTGTCTCCACATAAACAATAAACTTGTTAAAAGATACGATCAGCACTTATAATTCTGCACCCGGCATTTCAACAGTCTAATAAATAGCAGGTCTTCAATAACTGTTTTATGGATGAATAAATAAATGTATCAGCACATTAAATTCTAAAATAGGATAATATGAAAATACTATGAGATTAGCAGGTGAGAAAGGGAAGGAGGGAGCAATTTTTTCTTCTTCGATATTTAGGGAAACTTTCAATCACAGTGGTATTTGAACGGGGATATAATAAATAAATAGGATTTCACTTGATAGAAAAGGAAAAAAACTACATAGTATGCAGCAAGAACAACCTTGTGGAAAGCACAAAGTGGGGAAATACACAATTGATTTAACTGATTGTGACTTGAATTCTCTGGAGAAGGTGAGGCTCAGTATCTAAAGATTGGAAGGGGGATGGAAACTGGTAAAAGATTGAACTAGAAAAGTAAATTGGGGAAGACAGAATTTCATATTTAGGTAAGACTTCACACTCTAATCCAAGGGGAGCCGTTTCAATTAGTAAAATCAGGCTTTTATTACTTGAGGAAAGATACCTTGGACATAGAAGCACATCAGATGCAGAGAGATGAAAAGCATAACTACCTAGAAGAAAAGTTAACGTTAATGGAAAAAAAGATGGTTACAGTCCGAATTAAGACAAGGAAAATAAGAATGGTGAAGAGGGAAGATCACAAAAAAACAGCTCTGTGGAAATGTACTACAACTTTGATTTACAACTGATATTTTCTAGTTACAGAGTCCATGATGGCCTAAAGAGAAAACTCTAATTAAGAACATACAACCAAGGCTGCGGTTGTGGCTTAGTGGTAGAGTGTTTGCCTCACATGTTTGAAGGAAGCACTGAGTTCAATTCTCAGCACCGCAAATAAATAAATGATTAAAGGTCCATCAACAACTAAAAAAAAAAAATTAAAATAAAGAACATTAGCTAAGTGAGACATTAGAAACCATCTGGTTGTGCACTCACAATGTAAAGATGAAGAAGGTTTTGAGGCCCAGAAAGTTATATAATTTGTTCTGTGTGTGTGTGTGTGTGTGTGTATCCATCTATGTCAGTAACAGAATTGATACCATAATTCCAGTCTTTCGGTACTTTTACTCCTTTACCATAATTTATTTTATTAATATTAAACAGAATATTTTGACAATTGCAACTACAGTTAGCTCAAGAAAAATGAGCTAACTAAAGAAAAGATCTCTTCACTGTAATATTTTATGCAACCAATATTTAATGTGAAGTTTTTATATCATGAGGAATAAAGTGTCAGTCGTTTAAGGACAATCCTTATTCTTAACATTTCAAATACAAGAAGTTCTTCATGATTAAATTGAAAATTAGAGTGAATAGGGGAACCAAATAGTGTTAGTCAATTCATCTTCAAGGCTAGGCTTGTTCTTAAAGCAGTGACTTAAAAATGTTTGTTTGATGTAATTTAATGTGACAAATGCTTTTTAGTGGCTATTTTAAATAACAAACCAACCAGGAAAAACTTTTTTTTTTTTTTCCCATCTCATGACTCTGTTAAATGTTAGTCTTTTCTTCCTGCTCTTCCTCCTTGCTCTGTTCATGGTTGCTCTCATTATATCAAAGAAGACATTTGGTA